AGATTGTTTCATTTATACCCCTATAGTTTTACACGATTTTCAATGACCCCCTAGACTACTCTTATTTTTATGTGTACCCCCATACTACTTAAGTTACTATTAATTTTGCCTATGCCGTCACATTTGAAACGAAAAAAGTTAAAAAAATTACATTTTGACCCAAATTTAAAAGGGAAGATGCAGACCCACCTTTTCCTACCAGCAAATCACCATCACCAACCACCACTTCAAGCCTTTTTATCTCATTCGTTATAACTCTGTTTCGCCTCATTTTTACGTCGTTGGATTCAACTCACGGTCTAGTTTTTGTATCACATCTCACACGTCTCGTTCTTCCTCTTTTTGCATGTTATATCGGAGCTCCAAAAAGTGATTAAAAAAAATAAGGGCTCTATTTGCATATGATGTTTGTTTAGGTGTTTCAAATCACAATTCCACGCTTACTTTTGAAAACGGGATCGAAAGCGGGAAAATTTGGACTAACCGATCGTCCCACCAAACGTCCCACCAGTCGTTCGGCCGATTAATCGGAATAGTGCAACTTTTTTAATTTTTTTAATTTTTATTTTTTTTTACAATTGACATATGTTAATTTTTATATATTTAAAAAAAATATTTTCCGAATTTCTAAAATTTTTTTATGTGCTTTGATAGAGTTTTGAGTTGTATGTTTGGTTATGAGTTGTAAGTTTTTGTATCAAATATCATATGTCATATCAAAAATTTCTCACTCAATTCAAAACTCTTTCACCGAACAAATTTTCCACACTCAAATCATAATTCTAAAACTCAGAAACTCAAAATACAACTCCTACTCTCAAATCATATTTAGAAAGCTCTACCAAACGCAACTAAGATTTTTCTTCTCGTTTTCGACTTTTTTTCAAGCCATATTTCGGACTTCATATCTTTCTCGATTCTTGACGGTTCCACATCATTCTTTCACCATTCTCTTCACCTCATTTCCTACTTCGCCCTACACTAGCTCGCTTTCTCACTTCATCGTGTAATGTTTGGTATGCAGAAAGTTGTCCTGAAACTAAATTTGAAAATTTCAAAACATTCATCTTTTGTTTCTCTCTCCTTCATCTTCCTCTTTCTTCTTCTTCTTCTTCTTCACTTATAACATGATGTGGAACATGGTTCTAGGTGGTAACGAAATTGGTGATAGTGGTGGTAGCGGTGAAGTTGGTAGTTCGGTTAGTGATCTTCTTCTTTAATTATCCATCTAAGCTTTTTCTTTCTTTTAGTGAGAAAGATGAAAGAAAACACAATTCAATAATCATAATATCATATTTTCCACTACAAAGAGATCTAGAGAGAGAGAGATGGCATATATTACTATGTTGGTTGCAAAGGAGTATGAGAGGAAGGTGAATAAATCAAAACAAAATGAAAATGGGTTTGAAAGTGATAAAGCGATCAACTTGTTTTCTATTGTATTTGTCTTGGTTTGTAATCAGAGGAGGCTACATGATGATGATGGGTCTTCTTGGATCATGATAACAATGAAGAATTTTGGGAAAGAAGAGAAGAAGAAGAAAATCATGGAGTCTAGATCGCCCGGAACTCCGCTCCGCGCGCGAGGGCGCGAATCGTTGTTCATAGCTACTACAGTTCGGACTCCTATCACGGTTCTGAATCTAATCTCACAAAGTGCAATGTAAGATTGATAAATCACCAAAGAGTCCAAATCCAGCAAATTGTTTTGAAAAAACGATTTTGATCAAGAACTGCCAAACATGGACTGCTTTGTCAGATTTCATAGTCGCCACCAAAATATTTTGTTTTTGGGAAATTTAGGAAACCCTGACTCGTGCCCAAAGCCACGTGTCCGTCATCACCAAAGTTGCCTCGGCTCGGGAACTTGGATACGAGAGGGGAAGGTCATGCAATGAGCACCCCCGCTCGCCCGATCAAAGAATCGGCCTCTACTAAACATGATATGTTGTTTTTGAAAACACATGCGCTCTTATTCTGATTTATTAGCTGGCTTACTATGTGATGCGCACAGTATACAAGTATAGACTAGATCACTCAAGTTGGAACAAAACATCTCATGTTTGCTTTTTTGAAAATGGTTTAAAGTTGCTACTCGCAAGTAGGCTAAGATGCGGATTTTGCCACCCTTAAGTGGGCTTAGAAAACAATACGATTTGCCACTCTCAAGTGGGCTTAAAACACACATTTTGATGAATTGTTCCAATTCAAGCAATCCAACCTTCATCCACAGGCATTCACGCAGTTATATCAGTTAAGGAAATAGCCTCATGGCAAGCATGCTAACATGGCAACATACATATCTCATGCAGTATGCTAAAGCATAAAAGCTTACCTAGTATTCCGAGCCAAAACAAAAGTTAGTTAGTAATTAATGCATGATCCTAGTTATGTTAACAATGCCTAATGCAACACATGCAAAATGCAATGAATAGGCTCGGCTACCTAAAATGGCATATGAAATGCAACAATTGATATATGTACTCAAATTGGAATTAAAATACAATGCGATTCGTATGATGCGCCGAGCCCGGTGCAAGCAAGACAAATGAATGATGTACGCATGCAAACATAAGTATGCTAATCGAAATATGTCCTAAAACTAGCCATCAAAAGCTGGTAAATAAAAGAGAGAAAGAAATGGGGTTGGAAGACATGCATCACACACATGCACACTTATTTACAACATCGGCCTCTCGAAGGAGGGTCCGAATGAATTTAGCTAACTAGCTACGCTAATTAAACTAATTATTACAAATCAACTAATTAACTAACTTAGCTAATTAATTATTACAAAACTTTAACTAATTAATCGAATTAATTAAAATACAAAACCAACTAAGTAAGAAACTAAAAAAAAAAGGCTGCCACAGCTCTGCCTCAGACAACGAAAGATGCATGCTCAGTCGTGTCCTCTCGGAAATCCACTACCGTGCCTTGTGATGCCTCTGTTTGCACTGTTTTAGATTCCTAAAAATTGTGCCAACCTCCAAGATACTTCTGATCCACCTTATGGACATGCTGAGAAGTGGTCGGCCAAGAGGAGTGGCCATCGACCAGAGTTTATGGCTATCGACCAATTTTGATAGCCAATCGACAGACTAAGTGGTTGATCGACCACTGCTTCCTGCAAATTCTCCATTCTGCTGTAACAGAGCAGAGCACGAACAGAGGCATGCCAGTGTATTCGCAAGAAAATGTGTGTGCAACCACACTCCTTATCATATCTAAAGCTCAAAGGAGTGTAGTGCTCGACTCTCAAGCCATCAATCACGCATCTCAATGCATGATGGCCAAAGAGGCCGAGTTTCACAAATCAATGACAATGAATGCACACAAATAACACATAGGACTCAATGAACCGCCACCGTATCATACATGATCATAGGTGTCGGTGACCTAAGGAATGAGGCACGTTTCATCACTTTGAGTATGAAACGTCCCTCGTTCCTCGTGTTTGGATTGACACCCATCCTAAACACAATGCAATGCAACAACCATGCAAACATAATGCAACAACAATATGCAAGCAACATGAGCATGCAACAACACTCAAACAACAATGCAATGGCAAGGGCTATGTAATGCAACACTTAAAGGACCAAACCAACCTCAAACAAGCCTAATGCATGCCAAGACAAAGGCCAAAGCATGCTGAAAATGAAGTCCAAAAGTATATACAAGCGTGCATGTCAATTGGTTTACAAACAAAGCAGGAAGGCACCAACTCTCAAGCACATTGAAGGAGTGGAAAATGTGAGAGTGTGGCTGTGAAATAGGCTTTGAAATCACATTCCAAAGGATGCTAAATCATGCACATATGATAAATAAAGCATGCTAGTGGGCTCAAAGCCTAAAGCTAGCCAAGGGGCTTACACAATGGCCATATCAAGCAAGCCCCAAAGGGCCAAGGTGACTCAAAACAGTCCCAAGGCAAGTCAAAATAGTGCCAAAAGTATGCTTGAACATAGCCAACACAAGCTAGAATTAAAGGCATGAAGCATGGGGTATGTAAGGGGAACAAGGAGGATTGCACTACACCTATCAAAATCAAGCATGAGATGACTCCACCAACCAAAATCAGAGTTATGACGTGTTAAATAATGACAAAAAACGTGCTGGAATGGAATGAACACATGCTAGAAAGATGAGCCAAAACCTCAAGCATACAAGACTAGTTTGCAAGGATTACATTACAAGTGTATTAAGCATGCAAGAGACAATCAAACCAACCCAAAACAGAGTTGTACCATGTTAGAATAAGGCCCTAAACATGCTGAGATAGAGCCAAAACATGCTAGAAAGACATGCTCCTTTGCAAAGCTATAAGTAGGATTAAACTACAAGTACAAGAAACATGCAAGGAGTGACCAAGATAGCCAAAAATAGAGTTATGGCAGGTCTGGAAAGTCGCAAAAATGAGCTCAAACAACGCCTCTGGAAGATAGAAATGCATGCTCTCTTGGTTGGCCATCAACACAAGCCAACAAGAGAAGAGGAGGAGGGACAACCCCGTCCTATTTAAGACCTCAAAACACACTTTTCACCACTAAAATTCTTCTGGAATTCAGTGGTAGAAAGGCCAAATAAAGGTGATCCAAAGACCTAAAGAGATGGTTCAAAACAAGGCCAAACAAGGCTCTAAAGGGGGTAGACTACCCCCAACACCAAAGAGGCCTTAAACAAACATGTTAAGCACTTCAAAACAAGACTTTTTTCAGTTGAAACCAAGGCCTAAAACAGTATGCATACTTATGTAAAAAAAAAAAATTAATGCCCAATTAATACACATTAATGTGTGTTTGAGAGGGGAAAAATTGAGTACACACCTAACCTTTGGCATAATGCACAAAGTGGTGTCTCCAAGACTTGAACCGATAACCATAAAGTTATTAGGCCAAGTCTTATGTATTTAAAAAAATCTTATTCTCTGATACTCATCATATTATTATAGTTGCTGTTGATTGTTATTAATTCGTCAAGCTTATAGGTATCCGGGTATGACAGAGGAGGCAATTGCGGAGGCTTGCCCTTGTTGTCGTGGAATTGCAATTGCAGAGCATGCTTGCGTTTAAAACGATGTGTTAATGTCAGTCTTTTCAGCTCCAATCGTTTTATGCTCTATTGGTGTCTATGATATCCTTAACTTTTTGGTGTTTACTAAATAGTATTATGTGCTCTTTATGACTCATTGTAGAACCTGAATAATTCAGAGTGGAGGAATATCAGTCATGATGATAGGATTTGCCACGCCAAGCATTTACTACATGTGCTTCTTCCATTTCTGAAACAATTCAATCAAGAGCAATTGATGGAGAAGGAAATAGAGGCCAAGGTTCAAGGTACTTCTTTGGTTTCATGTTACATGAACTCTATAATTTGTTTCCAAGCAAAGAGATAAAGATATCCAGAGGTCACTGCACTAAGTGTGGTGATATGAGTAGAATAATAGATCATGGTTTGTTGATCGGACATGAAAACAAAGAAAAACATTATGGAATTAAGATAATACGCACTTTGCTAATGGATATATCATGGATTTGCCATGCTATTTGATTGAAATTTTCTGTGAAAGTGCTGCATTTTCTTCTATAAGTTCTATTTCACTTTATTTGATTGTTCATTTCATCTGTTGAAGATGAGTATCCTGATTTTGCTGTAAGTTACATATATACTTTATGCTTTCTTTTAAATCAAATTTCAGGGGTTACATTCTAATGGCCATTATGTGAAAATATTGAGGTTACTCATGCTTGTTCCTTGTAGCTTTAACTCTTTTTCTTTTAACTAATATTAATCCAAGACTTTTATAAATCAGGTGATTTGAACAGGATGGTTTTGTGATGCGCATGGTGCAGAACTGTATAAACAAACCCGTAATGTTTTAATTATTTGCTAATTGGATGTTGATTTGGCCAGGGTTATCATTGGCAGCAATAAAGTTACAGAAGGCAAAAACTTTTCACAAGCGTGTGTGTTGGTAGGTTTTAAGGTTTTTTGTCTTTTTTATATGAAATATTTCTTAATTTTGAAAAAGTTAATGATATCACCTATTTTATGATGCAGCACCTACTGTAAAACTTCTATTGTGGACTTCCACCGAAGCTGTCCAAACTGTTCTTTTCGCCTTTGCCTCACTTGTTCTCGGGAGATCCGTGATGGTCACTTCCTGGGAGGTGGGAAGGAAGTAATCTTTCAATATATTGACAATGGACGATCTTGTCTGCATGGTGGCAATGCCTATCCTGTTTTCTCTGGAAAGGGTGTGGTTCAGCACGGTGAAGAAAATAATCAGCAGCAGGAAAGAAGGAGAAACAGCGGGGGTGAAGTAGCAGAGAGGTACACAAAAAACTGCATTTTAATTCCATTAATGCCAACAATTCTCTAATAGATCCTTATACCAGCCCTATATATATACATGTGTAATAATCCTAATATAAATCAAATAAGTAACCAAATCCTGAGAAAACTCTAAAATTCTGAAAAAACTAAGCTTTCAGTCTTTGCCCCTTCGATTTCCATTAGGGCGGAGATTTGGATATATCTGTTGGCACAAGGTCCAAAGATCATGAGAAGTCAACTTCTGAGTGGAAAGCGAATAAAAATGGTGTCATTTGTTGTCCTGCGAGGAAAATGGGTGGCTGTGGTCATCACCAACTAGAGTTGAAGTGCATGCTTCCTGAAGATTGGGTTTCATGCTTGGTGAAGAAAGCAGAGGATGCATCTAAAATGCTCAAACTTCATGTTATGCCTAGAACTTCCCTGCAATGGTGCTCCTGTTTCAGTTCACTGGGTGACATAGACTTAGACAGTGCTAAGTCACATAAAGCAGCTTGTTGAGAAAATTCCATTGACAACTATCTGTTCTGTCCTACAGCCGGAGACATTCAACATGGGAATTTGAAGCATTTCCAGCAGCACTGGGTCAAAGGTGAGCCAGTGATTGTGAGTGATGTGCTTGAACATACATCTGGTTTGAGTTGGGAACCAATGGTTATGTGGCGTGCATTCAGACAGATAACACATTCTCAGCATTCTAAGCATTTAGATGTTGTGGCCAGTGATTGCTTGGATTGGAGTGAGGTTAGTTCAGGATTTAAATTATTCATTGTAGTTGAGCATTGAATTATGTGTCTTTGTTGTGAGTGATAACCAATCCAATTGCCTAAAAAACTAATGGCATCTAAGTGATTGCAAAGATGTTTCCAGTCCATCACATTTCTTCCAAGTCTTTCTAAGAATTTAGATTAAGTTTAGAAATATTTACATATAGAAAAAGCTAAAAGTGCAAATATTTTAACCCAAGTTTACATTCATTTCTTTTTATGCCTGGGGTCTCAAGTGCTTCTTGATGTGGATATGTAGATGGTTTGAAACTAAGTATCATAGCCACGTGACAGGAAAACACCAACCGTACAATTTTTAAAAAATGCAACACATTAAAAAATTTGTACTTTTATAATTTATTATACATCAAATATATGAGTAGTTTATTCACAGGTAATGTAATAAAAAGCAATATAACACCAACTAATTTTTTTTTTGGGCAAATTACATATACCTCCCTTGAGGTTTGGCTAAATTACAGATACTCCCTGAGGTTTCGAAAATTACATCCTGCCCCCTTAGGTTTGTATTTTCATAACAATTTATCCCCTGAAGTTTAAATTTCATAACAAATTACCCCCTAATTTGTTATGCAAATATAGCATTCAGGGGGAAATTTATAATTTCTCAAACCTCAGAGGGTATTTGTAATTTAGTCAAACCTCGAGGGGAGTATATGTAATTTGCCCAATTTTTTTATTTTAAAAAGTCATATATTCTATAATGTAAACATAACAAGATATTATTCATGTAAAACTTGCATTCTAAAGAATACAAAATAATAGAACATAAAAATACATAGGATATATTCATCGTATAAATGCTTCAAAACATATTTACAATGCCCACATAGCAGTTTGAAGAATGCAGAACGTTGTTATTACTATGAAGAGATTCATTACATAAGTCATGTTTGTTGGATAGCTTGATATACATTGTTGGGTCCATTTCCTAACAACTTTGGCTTTTGGGAAAATTTGTGACTTAACATGGTATCAGAGCTTTGGTTGAGAGAAGTCTTGGGTTCAAATCTCTCTATTGACATTTGGTTTTCTATCCACGTTTTGTTTCTTCCTCTCTTTTTGGTTGTTTGCTTCTTCTTCTGTTTGGTTCTCTTACTTGTCTCTCCATGTGCAAGACGAGATTGCATGTGAAAGCGGGTGTTAGATAGCTTGATATACATTGTTGGGCCAATTTCCTAACAACATAGGCTTTTGGGAAAATCGGTGACTTAACAGTGTTCAGAGGATTCAAGAAATGTCGTTGAAGTGTCCAAGAAGTGTTATAAAGTGTCCAATATTATGACCTTAAAATTTAATTAAGACATGTTGAAGAATTGGTGGATATGCTTTTAGGAGTGTTTGCAGAGTATGATGCCCGACACAATAGAAGTGTCCATGCTTCTTAGGTTTAAATGTAGAAACTTCAATCTTACCTTGCAGCAGAAAATTTCTTCTGGAATATAACTTATCTTGACTTAACATGGTATCAGAGTTTTGGTTGAGAGAAGTCTTGGGTTCAAATCTCTCTATTGACATTTGGTTTTCTATCCACGTTTTGTTTCTTCCTCTCTTTTTGGTTGTTTGCTTCTTCTTCTGTTTGGTTCTCTTGCTTGTCTCTCTATGTGCAAGACGGGATTGCATGTGAGAGCGGGTGTTAGATAGCTTGATATACATTGTTGGGCCAATTTCCTAACAACTTAGGCTTTTGGGAAAATCGGTGACTTAATAGTGTTCAGAGGATTCAAGAAGTGTCGTTGAAGTGTCCAAGAAGTGTTATAAAGTGTCCAATATTATGAACTTAAAATTTTAATTAAGACATGTTGAAGAATTGGTGGATATGCTTTTAGGAGTGTTTGCAGAGTATGATGCCCGACACGATAGAAGTGTCCATGCTTCTTGGGTTTAAAATGTAGAAACTTCAATCTTGCCTTGTAGCAGAAAATTTCTTTTGGAATATAACCTATCTTGACTTAACATGGTATCAGAGTTTTGGTTGAGAGAAGTCTTGGGTTCAAATCTCTCTATTGACATTTGGTTTTCTATCCACGTTTTGTTTCTTCCTCTCTTTTTGGTTGTTTGCTTCTTCTTCTGTTTGGTTCTCTTGCTTGTCTCTCTATGTGCAAGACGGGATTGCATGTGAGAGCGGGTGTTAGATAGCTTGATATACATTGTTGGGCCAATTTCCTAACAACTTAGGCTTTTGGGAAAATCGGTGACTTAATAGTGTTCAGAGGATTCAAGAAGTGTCGTTGAAGTGTCCAAGAAGTGTTATAAAGTGTCCAATATTATGAACTTAAAATTTTAATTAAGACATGTTGAAGAATTGGTGGATATGCTTTTCGGAGTGTTTGCAGAATATCATGCCCGACACAATAGAAGTGTCCGTGCTTCTTAGGTTTAAAATGAAGAAACTTCAATCTGACCTTGCAGCAGAAAATTTCTTCTGGAATATAACCTATCTTCAAGATCCTTGTTCCCTTTTTTTTTTATAGGAGAGATAGACAGTTTCACCATAAGGTGGAATTGATACAGAGCAATAGTTCTTCTGGGAATCGATACTGTAAGCTGGGATGGGAGTGGTAGACGTTCTTGGAAGACAACATGGAAGATGAGAAGCTACCCAAAAAAAAGAATTCATATTGATTTCCCATACACCAGATAAATTTCGAGAGAAAATTACATCAAATGTAGAAGAAAGGTCATTTTAGGTTTTTCCAGTAGAAAATTTGAATACGATATGCTATTTTAGATAGTTTTCTTGTTATGTTGTTGAAATGGTTGTTTCTTTTTCTGATCTATGGTGCTTGATTTTCTACTCTTTGTTTATTTATTTATTTATTTTGGACGAATTATGCTTATTTTTTACTTTAGAAGGCTTGGGTGTGGTGAAAAATGGACAAAGATTTTCGCATTTTTCTGGACCAACGCAAGTAAAGAAGCTAGTCCAAGACTATAGATTTGGGGTAGCCACTTGGAATATAGAAACTTTAACTAGTAAGACTATGGAATTGGTAGGTGTTATAATTAGAAGGAGAGTTAGTATAGTATGCGTACAAGAAACTAAGTGGACGGGTGAGAAAGTTAGGGAAATTGAGGATACCAGGTTTAAACTGTATTATAGTAGCAAGAATAGACATAGGAATGGGATAGGAATAATAGTTGCTAAGGGTCTTATAGAAAATGTAGTAGCGGTCATTAGGAAATGTGATAGGATTATGTTAGTTATACTAGTTATTGGAGGGAATATAATGAATGTTATTAGTGCATACGCCTCCCAAGTAGGATTAGATAATTAGACTAAGAAGGATTTTTGAGAGCAAATGGATGAGATCATACAGGAGAAACTTGTAGAAGAGAACCTAGTTATAGGTGGAGATTTTAACGGCCATGTAGTAATAGATAAACTAGACTATGAGAGGGTGCATGGTAGATATGGTTTTGGTGATAGAAATGAGCTGGAGAGAGTATTTTAGATTTTGCGTTGGCTTCTGACCTGGTGGTGGTTAATACTATGTATAAGAAGAGGAAGGAGCATTTGATAGCCTTTAAGAGTGGGTCATTTAAAAGCCAAACAGATTACTTTTTAGTGAGGAAAGTGGACCGTCTAAAATGCAGTGACTGTAAGGTGATTCCTGGAGAGAGGAGAGAGCTTGACGTCTCAACATAGGATTTTGGTACTAGATTTATGCTTTAAAGGTCAATACCAAGCTAAGAAGGATAGTGGGCGTCGTAGGACGAGACGGTAGGACCAAAAAAGGGGGATAAACTAGAATATTTAAGAATATAATAGATAAGGAAGGTACTTGGTACTTGGGACTTGGAAGATGATGCAAACACTCTGTGGAATTTGATAGCCAATTGTATCAGGAGAATCTCAAGGGAAGTTCTTGGAGAGTCGAAAAGAAACGGACCCAATTCTAGGGAAACTTGGTGGTGAAGGGAAGAGGTTCAAGCGTAATTAAGGCGAAAGAAAAGTGCTTTAAAAAGTGGCAGAATGATAAAACTGAGGAAAACCTTAAAAACTATAAATTGGCTAATAAGAAGATCAAAAAAATAGTGAGAGATGCTAAGTTGAAAGCTATGATGACCTATACACTAGACTAGATAGTAAGGAGGGAGAGAAGAGGGTATACAAATTTGCTGAGATAAAGGAGAGGAAAACAAGAGATTAGTGCATCAAGAGTGAGGATTCTAAGGTATTGGTGAAGGATGAAGAGATTAAGGAGAGGTGGAAGAACTATTTTGAGAAACTGTTAAATAAGGAGCATAGAGGTACGTTAATAGGGAAGGAAATAGCTAGCAATAAAAAAAATCAAGACTATAGGTTCTATCACAAGATTAGGAACTTTGAAGTGGAGATTGCACTTAAGAAGATGAAATCAATTAAGGTTTTAGGACCCGATGATATTTCTATTGAAGCTTGGAAGTGTTTGGGTAAAAAAAAGGGTTACTTGATTGACTAGGTTATTTAGCAAAATTTTATTGACTAGGAATATGCTAGATGAGTGGATGAAGAGTATTTTAGTACCAATTTATAAGAATAAAGGAGATGTCCAGAATTGCAACAATTATAGAGAAATCAAGCTAATGTGTCATATAATGAAAATGTGGGAAAGGGTGATGGAACGTCGATTGCGAGATATAACAGAGGCGTCAAAGAATCAATTTGGGTTTATGCCTGGTAGTTCAACAATGGAAGCGATTTATCTTTTGAGGAGAGCAATAAAAAAAGTACAAAGAAAAGAAAAGAGACATTCATATGGTATTTATCGATCTTAAGAAAGTATATGATAGAGTGTCTCGGAATATAATCTGATGGGTGTTAGAGAAGAAAGGAATGAAAAAGGTTACATTTATGTGATTAGGGACATGTATGAACGGGTGGTGACCACTATTAGATCGCTACTGGAGAGACAAATGAATTTTCAATTACTGTAAAGTTACACCAAGGATCTACTTTATGTCCTTATCGTTTTGCTTTAGTTATGGATGAGTTGACGAGAAATATTCAGGATAATGTGCCATGATGTATGCTTTTTGCAAATAATATCATATTAGTGGATGAGACTAGAGAAGGAGTTAACACAAAGTTGGAGATTTGGAGAAAAACACTTGAATCTAAAGGATTTCGGATGAGCAGAACTAAGACAGAATACATGGAGTGTAAATTTAGTAACAGTAACAATGAAACAGAGGAGAAATGAAGATTGAAAACCAAGAATTACCGAAGAGTGAGCATTTTCGTTATTTTGGGTCGATTATCACAACGGCAGGGGAGATTGATGCAGATTTGGTCAATAGAATTAAAGCAGGGTGGCTTAAATGGCAAAGTGCATCTGAGATACTGTGCAATAAACAAGTACCCACTAGACTAGAAGGAAAGTTCTATAAAACGGCTATTAGACCAGCGATGTTGTATGGGATGGAGTGTTGGACAACCAAGAAACAATATGTAGATAAGATGAGTGTTGCTGTGATGAGGATGTTAAGGTGGATGTGTGGCAAAATTAGAAAAGACAAAATTAGGAATGAGTATATTTAGAAATGGGTAGGAGTAGCACCGATTGAAAATAATTTGAGAGAGAATAGATTGAGATGGTTTGGTCATAATCTATGGAGACCAACAGAGGCAGTAGTAAAGAGATGTGATGCAGTGACGGTAGATAGAAGTATTAGGGAATGGGATAAACCTAGATTGACGTTGGCTAGCGTAGTAAATAAATATATGAATCTATTTAATTTGACTAATGAAATGGCCTTTGATAGAGCCGCATGGAGAACAAGAATTCATGTAGCCGACCCCATTTAATAGGACTTAAGGCTTGGTTTGGTTTATTTTTTACTTTAGAATGAGCAAAATAAGTTGAAAGCAGTAAGCTCTTTTTTATTTCAATTTTTTGTTCCAGAAAGAGTAAGGAGAGTACTCTTGATAAATTGATCATTTCTTCATGCACTATAATGCCTCGTTTTTGTTGCAAAGACTAAGGAAACAGATCTTTGCACTTTCAACATGAACAGCAGCAGCATGAACTCCCCCTAATCCGCAACAGTTGTTAACCAAGTTAACAATCACTACTCTTTTAGCCTTCCACTCTCTCCAGTTGAATTTTCATGATGTCGCTTTTCGTTCCCCTATTTACTTGTCAGTTTTTGCTTTTAATTCGATGTTACTTCTTGTCAATTTTCCTTCTCCTCTCCTAAATCCTTTTGAAATTTGACATTGCACTCTTTTTTTCATCAATGGCTTGTGGTAGAATAGAATCTGATTTGTACAAGCTTGACTTTAATTGCAATCATTATTGGGAAGAAAACATAAACTGAAATTTGACTGCATTAATTCTTCTTTTGTTTGTAACTTAGTCTACTTTTTTTAAAGTTTTAGATGTTCGTTCATAGACCCAAACAAAAGACCTTCAATAGTATTATGCTAGAGCCTCCTGTACATAGTGCTGTTATTTTCATGTGATTTCTAACATTCTTTTTCCACCTCTCTTGCCCTTTTTTTTTGGCAATGAGAGTGCTGTTATTTTCATGTGTTTTCTAACATTCTTTTCCTCCCTCTCTCGCCTTTTTTTTTTTTTTTTTATAATCATAAAAACTTACTTATTACTTATAAGTGATACCAAACGAGGCCGTAATCCGCTCAGCCCACACATACTGCCACTGTGCACAGGCCCTGGGTGTGGTCCCAAGGGAGTCCAGCACTTCATATGATTCAACTTTCCCTTTTCTTCTCTATTGTTGAATGATTTTGATAGGTGATTCTAATGTGATGAATTGCAGGTAAAGATTAATATTCGCCAGTTCTTTAAGGGGTATTTGGAAGGTCGATTTCACAGTTCGTTGTGGCCTCAGTTACTGAAATTGAAGGATTGGCCTTCCTCCAATTCTTTTGAGGAACGCTTACCTCATCATGCTGCCGAGTTTATCGATTGCTTGCCATTCAAGGAATATACGCATCCTCGCTTTGGCTTTTTCAATCTTGCTGTCAAATTGCCGTTAACGACTTTGAAGCCAGACTTGGGACCAAAGATAGATATTGCTTATGGGGTTGATCAGGAGCTGGGGGATGGGGACTCCGTGACCAAGCTTCGTTGTAATATGGCTGATGCGGTAAGATTTGATTCTTTAGGTTTCTAGTACTGTAATTTCGCATTTCTGGATAACTTCTATTTAGCCTTATGGACTTTTTGGTTGTCCTGCTTCTCTTTATGTTATTTGCAAATCTTGTGGTTGGTTGTTAAGCATAGGCTAAAGGGTAAGCCAGGTGGATAACAGCAGAATGAATTCAGCAATAAAATTGTTTTGTGGTATGGCCATGCTGAGGCAGGCTAGATGCTAGTATTTGTTAAAGATTTTATTACTAGCCTATGACCAGTCCCATCTGTTAAAATATTTTTGATATATATATACACACACCATATGTATGTGTGCATATATTTGTGTATGACTTTGACATGTATATTTATGTATGCAGGTTTTTTGCATCTTTGTAACAGTATACCTGATCTCTAAATATGGGCTTCAATAACATCATTGTAACAATCCTCAACACAATGGTGTTTCATATTATTGAAATTTGAAGCCATTGTAATGCTATATAACATTACTATGACTGTCATTCTGTTATTAGGTTTACATTAAATTTATGTATAATGCCTTTTTGTTTTTTATCTTGTAGACTTAATAAACTAATGAGAATATATTCAGAAAATTCACTAGTGATATTATCACAACCGCTATGTCAGTAAATGGCCAAAATGCAAGCTTGTGTCACTGACCTTTTGTTTTGAGGCAGGCATACTTGACCCTTAAATTCTCCAATGTGTCAAACTCTTGGCATTTGAAGTAATTCCATTTCCCATAATTTTTTCCTTCTGGGGGGGTGGGGGTCTTATATCTAATGATTGGCTGTTTCAGGTGATTATATTGACTCAGGTTAATGCAGTAACTCTTACACCAAAACAGCTTTCCAAAATAGAGGAGTTGAAGCAAAAGTATTTAAACCAGGATCAGAGAGAAATTTTTGATAACGGTAGTGAACTAGGCCAAACCGTCGAGAAGCAACAGCTTTCCCCATCGATGGAGAAGTCTAGGCCAGGTGATTCTGGTGTTCAGTCAAGTACTAAATTCGTTGCTGAAGTATCAAGCTGCTGTGAAGTTTCTAGTTTGTGTGGTGGTGGGTCTCGTAGCATGCCTTCAGATGGTAGACAATATGTTTACGGTGGTTTTGTAAATGCTAAAGAAGCGACAGAGCAAGCAGGTGAAGTTGATCTATATGGTGATTTAAATGGTATTGTGTATACTGAGCTAGATAAAGAATGTCATTCTGCTTTTCCGTCAGAAGAAAAGA